AAGCAGCCAGAAAGAAACAATTTAAATATCATGGAACCATAGTCAAGCTTACATAGGACCTTGCAGCTTCTACATTAAAAGACTGGAAGGCATGGAACATGATATTCTGTAAGGCAAAGGAGCTTGGATTACAACCAAGGATCAACTACCCAGCGAAAATGAGCATGATCTTTCAAGGGAGGAAATGGATATTCAACGAAATAGAGGACTTCCAAATCTTCCTGATAAAAAGACCAGAGCTCAACAGAAAATTTGATCTTCAAATACGAGACTCAAGAGAGACATGAAAAGGTAAATGGGGCAGAAAGTAACAACATGGGATTAATAAGGGCAAACTCTTTACATTCCTACAAGGGAAGATGACACTTGTAACTCTTGAGAACTGTATTGTTATTACACCATGTTAAAGGGGTATACATTAGAGGGGGTGGGTATAAATTAACTTTGATGTAATGATGAAAAAAATCTAATCAAGTGGGTCCAATGGATCCAAGAAAGTGAATTAATCTGATCTAACTAAGAAAATGTACTGAGAGAAAAGGAAAGGAGGAGGCAGACAAGGGTAAGTTACATCACAGGAAAAGGCACAAAAACCTATTACAGCAGAGGGAAAGAAGGGAGGGAGATGAGCATTGTTTGAACCTTACTCTCATCAGATTTGGCTCAAGAAGGGAATAACATAATCAATTAGGTGTAGAAATCTAACATGCCCTATAGGCAGTAGGAGGGGAAAGGAGAAAGGAGAAAGAAAAGCATAAGGGGGGGGGCGGAATGGAGAGAAAGACACAGATAGTAATCATAACTGTAAATGTGATATGTGAATGTAATGGAACACTATTGTGCTATAAGAAATGATGAGCAGGCAGACTTCAGAAAAACCTGGGAAGACTTGTATGGACTGATGCTGAGTGAAGTGAGCAGAACCAGGAGAATGCTGTACAGAGTAACAGCCACATTTAGTGATGACTGACTTTGATAGACTTAACTCTTCTCAGCAAAACAAGGATCTCTGACTTCTCCAAAAGCCTCATGATGGAAAATGCTATCCACATCCAGAGAAAGAACTATGGAGTTTGAATGCAGATCAAAGCATACTGTTTGCTATTTTTTTCTTCTGTTGTGTTTTGTTTCCTCCTATTAGCTCTAATTCTTACTTACAATATCACTAATGTGAAAATATATTTAATAAGAATGTATATATATAGCCTATATTAGACTGTAAGCTGTCTTGGGGAGGGAGGTAGGGAAGGAGGGGGAGAAAAATGTAAAACTCAAAAGCTTATGGAAGTGATTGCTGATAAGTCAAAATAAATTAATAAAAAAAAGGACAATTTTTCAAGTAAAAAAAAAAAAACTAGAATAACAGTCCCAAACTGAACTTATCATTGCCCTAAACTCTCCTCTCCCCAAACCCTCTTACTGCTGACGAGGGCACTGCCATCTCTGTCACCCAGGCCCACAGCCTTGCAGTCATCCTCCACTCCTCAATCCCTCACTCCCAATATCTAATCCATCCCCAGATCTGACCATTTCTGCCTTCTCAATATCTCCCCTATATGTCTCATTCTCGGTACATCTAGGTGGCACAGTGGATAGATCATCAGCCCTAAAGTCAGGAGGGCCTGAGTTCCAATCCAGCTTCAGACATGTACTAGTTGTGTGACCCAGGAAAGTCACTTAACCCTATTTGCCTCAGTTTCCTCATCTGTAAAATGACAAACCACTCTAGTATCTTTGCCAAGAAAACTCCAAATGGGGTCACAGATACCATTGAAAAATTACTAAACAGCAAGTCTCATTCTCTCCACTCAGACACACAGCACCCTAGTTCAGGCCCTCATCACCTCTTGCCTAGACTATTGTACTAGCCTTCTAATTGCTCTCCTTGACTCAAATTTCTCCTCATTACAATCCATCCTCCACCCAACTACCAAAGTGATTTTCCTAAAGTTGAAATTTTACCAGATCACCCTCCCCACCCCACTCCCTCTTAATAATCTCTAGTAGGTCCCTATTACCATGAGATCAAATATAAAATCCTCTGTTTCACATTCAAAGTCCTTTACAACATTGTCCCTCCCTCTTTCCCTTCTTGTTTTTACTCCTGTCTGCACCTTCTATGATCCAGCCACACTGACCTTCCCATAGTCTTACTTTTACTTCTGTCTACACCTTCTACAATCCAGCCACACTGGCCTTCCCATTGTCTTACTTTTACTCCTGTCTACACCTTCTACCATCCACTCTGAGATTCCCTTTCATCTACTCTGTATGTATCTAATTTGTACCTAGTTACTGACTTGTCTCCCCCATTAGAATGTGAGCCCCTTGAGGGCAGGAACTCTTTTTGTCCTTCTTTGTATCCCAGCCTTAGCACAGTGCCTGTTACACAGTAAACAATAAATGTTTATTTAGGTAACTGGGGGGAAAAATTCTTTGAAGTAAGTTTCTCTGATAAAAGTCTCATAACCAAGATACATAAGGAACTGATTCAAAATTATGACTAAGAGCCATTCCCTAATGTATAAATGGTCCAAAAATGTGAAGAGGTAGTTTTCAAAGGAAGACATCAAAGCTATCAACAGCCACATGAAAAAAAATGCTCTAAATCACTAATAATTAGAGAAATAAAAATGAAAATAACTCTGAGGTTCCACCTCAGCCCTATCAGAGTGGCAAAGATGAGAGACGAGAAAATGACAAATGTTGGAAGGGCTGTGGGAAAACAGGCACATTAATG